CTCACCCGATTCCACCTTTCTATTTGTGAATTTCGAAGTTTTCATCATGGATTGGGAAGTGAAACCTATGCTACCTATTTCAACAATGCAGAAATAAAAGTCAATTGAAGCTGTGGGATGATGCCTTTGGTCCATTGCTCCGTACTCATATATTGTGCGGTTCCAATATCTGCTCAATTTTCACAAATTTTTGAATCTACATTGGCAACTTCCTCGAGAAGTTCAGAGAACGTGAAACAACGATGTGTTCTCGTATTCTCGTTAAAGGCTTCCCGGCATTCACTCGGGCTGGTCCCACAACATGTGTTGCTGGAAGTGCGCGAAAATTAAGCGCTCAGGGTCATTTGAAAATCCTGTCAGTTCCGCAGCCATTTTGTGCTGTTAGAGGTTCATTTTCTATCATTTCTTCTTAACTTTGTTGATTTTCATACGAGTTCCGTCGGGTATCTAATCCTTAAAGTGTTTGCTTTTGTCTGATAGATGAGAGGTTTCCAGAATGCCGTCTCGACGTGATGATGAATCCCCTGAGCAAAATGGTTAGTTTTTCTTCTTTATGAAACTCGCGATTTCACTAAGCCTATTTAGATTCGGAGCAGCCACTAGGCCAGCAACCCGACGAAGATGAAGATGTCATTGACGAGCTTTTCAACAATGAGAATGAAGAAGTGGAAGATGAAGAGGGCGAAAATTTGTTCGGCGATGATATGGAGAGGTGCAAACTTTCATTTCCTCATCGTACGCTTTATCCCAAATTGTCTTTCTTATAGAGACTACCGCCCACAGCCGGAACTTGATGTGTATTCCGAATCTGGACTAGATGATGCTTCAGACCTGGATGATCTCTCTGTTTCGGCAAGGCAAGCAGCCGAAAGGGAAATGGCCCAAAGAGATCAGCTCCTCGATGAAGATGCGCTCTTTTACGAAGAAGGGGACGAAGAACGGGTATTGGAGTTTTCGTTGCACCTCAACCAGTTTTGAAGTTTTTATTTGCAGAGAAGGCGTCGTAGACGACGTGGGGTTCAAGAAGAGGGCGCTGAAGATGTGGAAATGGAGGAAGAAGTTCCGATCGACATTCTGGAAAACTTGAGAGGTCGCTCAACCAAAGACCACGTTTCGGATGAGGCAGTGGCTAGGGAAATCGAGAGAAGGTAAGGTTCTATCCAGTAAGACCTCCATAGTTGAATCATTGAAGAAGGGCTTTGCTATTGCTAGTTAAAGTTAGCTAAGCTGTTTGAGGAGAAAAACTATTCAAATTTCAGGTTCAAAAACTTCCTCCGCGCTTTCAAAGATCCGGAGACCAGAAAGGCAAAATATTTGCAGGTATCCGCTTACTTCTCACACCTGAGCCCCTTTGATTCAGTCCCAAAGGTTTTTTACGGGAAAATAACTGTTGCAAGAAAAGATCATGCAGAAGGATTTTATCACTAGTATTGAGATTTCAGTTCCACTAAGCCTGGACATATCATCCGTGATCCTCCTTCTAGAAAATTAGTACTCCCCTAAAGTCACTTTGTGTATTCAGGCTATGAGCCAAATGGCATCGGAAAATAAGGAGTCGCTGGAAGTTGATTTCCGTGATTTAGCTGATGAGAACGGCGAACCGAACATCTGCTATTTCTTGCCGGAGGCGCCTGTACAGGTACGCTTCTGTAATTCTACTGGATGACCTTGATTTTATAAATAACGGTATATTTGGGGTTATTCCTTTGTCTGAACTAAAAATTGATTGGACTAAGGTTCTTTTCAAGGTAGCTAATGATAATCAGTGCGTTTTGGCAACGTGAGGGAAGTTTTGAAGGAATTCCAGCTAACAATGACTGAAAATAAGTGGAAAAATGTGAAGGAAAGTAGCTGTAGCTCTCCCACATATTGACGTACGTATCACATTATGTACATCAGGCTAAGGAGAGTAGATTATTGGGAGATGGATAAGGCTTCTTTATCAGCTGGTCTTGAAGTCAGAAACCACTCCGACAGTCATTAGCAAGAAATCTGCATGTTTAATACATTTTGAACATTCAATTTAGGTTCTGAGAATCTTGGATAAGGCAGCAACTGAAGTCGTACTAGACCACTATCCATACTATGGTCGCGTTTGTGCCGAGATCAAGGTACTTGCACTGATCATGTAATAGCTTTCCGTTTGCAACGAGTCAGATTGAAGGTTCGCATCTCTCATTTGCCTGTAGAAGAAGACATTCGTATGCTACGACAAATCCATCTCAACATGCTCATCAAAACCAGTGGAGTAGTGACAGTTGCAACTGGTGAGGACTTTTGGCTTTTTCTTCATCAACAACGAAGGAAAATATCAAAGGCATTGTCGGGATCAACTTGGGTATTGGGATCTTGAGACAGCGTGAGAGCATGGCTCCT